ATGGATAGAAAATTTGTTTGTTTCGAAATCGATAAAAGAAGATGATGAAGAAGAAAAAAAAAACTAATTGCCTTCTCGTATCGCACACACATATACATAGGCACAACAATGTGTGCAATGTGTTCTTTCGACAATCAATCTATCTCTATCGCTATTTCTATACATCGTGTATCACAAGTGCACATTACAGTAGTTTGTTGTTAATCAACGAATGAAAAAATTCCTTCATTTAACAGAAACTGAAAAAGAAGATTGGAAAAAGCAAAGAGAAGTAGAAGAAAAACATTTAATTTATGAGAAAAAATCTTTTTTCTCGAGATTGAAACAGCAAGAGAGAGAGAGAGAGAGACTGATGATGAAGAAAGAAAGAAAATTCGTGTATAGCACCTGAGATATATTATCATCATCATCAGACAAATTTGAATTTGCAAAAAAATATCTAACGCGCTACCTAAAATATCGTTGTTGTTGTTGTTGCTGGTTGTTGTTGTTGTCGATGTTAATGGACAACAACAACAACAACATGATGAGGATGATGATGATCATTATTACTTTGATGATAATGATGAGGCTCATCATGATAATAATGATAATGTTCAGAAGCGAAATGTTGGCGAAAAAGCAGCAGCAGCTGATAATGAATTTTCTTTCTTTTCATTCAACAATTGAAAAGAATTGTGTAGAGGATAAAAAAAAGGTCAGCTGAAAAAAAGCTTGCTTGCTTGGCATAGCCTAGCTCAGCAAGCTTTTTTTTTCAGCTGCTGCTGCTGATTATGTTTTCTTTTTAGCTTGCTGAACAAAATCTTCGACAAAAAAAAAAGTTTCATAAGTAACATTTATTCAGGTAAAAAAAAAATACAGAAGCATCCAAAGAATATAATTAACTAATATACCTTTCTACCTGGCCAAAGACTTGATAATAAGTTTTTTTTCTTTCGAAACTAGAAATAATAATTCACCAGGCCATTAAAAAGTGGAAAAATCAATTAAAGCAGCCAGCAGAAACGCTGAACATTATCGAAATTTTTTCTTCAAAAAATGAAATTAATTTGTGTTTCAATCAGCCAATATTGGCCATCATCATTTTGATGATCAATTTTTTTTTCGATCAACCACCATATGGTTATCGGTTGCTTGTCATGTTATGTTATTGTTTAAAGTTTGTTTTTTGTT